TAACGTCTTTGGAAAGTTCCTTTGGGAAGGGGACAAGGCCCAGCCACGAGACAGAAGAGGAGCCTACGAATTTCAAGAAAAAGAAGGCTACATTTAATAGGCAGTATCAGGAGTCCTACTTAAAATACGGTTTTATATCAACGGGATTTTCCCATGCAACAAGCCCACTCTGCATAATATGCGGCGATGGTGAGTCGTATTTTTCATGCACTTTGTATTAGAGGTGTATCTTATTTTGAACATTACCATAGCGACCAGAAACTGTTACGGCCAGATAGGACTTCCCTCATGTCATGATTAATATTTATTATGATGTTAAGAAAATAGCACAATTTTCATGCAGGTCATATCATATTTTGTTGTTATACTGTATTTATCAGGTGTTAAAGGCCAGTCCCTGAAAATATTGTTTGATGTTAAACCGGTCCGTGGGGGGAAAAAAAGGTACGGGACCGCTGCGCTAGTACACGCTTGGTGGCTACGGAAACATGTCGCATTAACATTTTGGTATGGAAATAATACACACAACTCCAGCTCACAGTACAGGTTTCAGGATTCCCAATGTGTGAGGTTTGTCTGTTCTGCTTTTGAATGAGTTTGGGTCTTCTGATTTCCTCCTATGGCGGCACAATGATTGATGGTTAGCACATCGGCCTCACACTGCAGAGGTGCAGCGTTGAGCGAGCTTTCCTGTGTGGAGTTTGCATGTTCTCCCCCTGCTTGTGTGGGTTTTCTCTGGTTACTCCGGTTTCTTCCCACATTCCAAAAACATACATGGCATGTTAATGGACTACTCTAAATTGTCCCTCGATGTGACTGTGAGTGTGAATGGGTGTTAATATATTTGTGCCCTGCAATTGGCTGGCAACCAGTTCAGGGTGTACCCCGCTTATTGCACGAAGACAGCTGGCATAGGCTCCAGCATACCCATGACCCTTGTGACGATAAGCGGATTGGAAAATGGATGAATGCATTTCCTCCTAAAGTCCAAAAACACGTACCCCATGTTATGTCGGTTGATTTTTGTAAAGTTGATTGTCAGTCCTACAAAAATAAAACTGCCACAGATTAATGATGGATCACCCTACCTCTTAGCTTCTGGATCAAAATTTGATCCATAATGGGACTCTTCAGTTAGTCTTGATCAAGACCATATGAAGTACAGTGAAACTCCTCTAGAACGAAACCTATATGGGCGAAAATACTCCCTAATGTGAAAAAAATCTTCATGCATTAACACCATTCCCATTCTCCTGCACCCCATACGACGAAAAAAACCCTGTTGCGTTATACGAAATCATTTTCTCTGCTGCTGCCTCGCGAATACATTCACTACAGCGAAGTCTAATCCAACAGCGACCTCTACTGCTTCGTTCGGAAACGGTAACAGCAACCACCACACTGGTTTACATAGTGAACAATGTTTATTTCGGTCACAGCTACGAGTTTCCTGAACGCAACATACTCTTAGCTGCTCTGCCATTGGCTTACCGAGCATCCGTTTAGCTGCTCAGAGTAAATTGCTTGTGGCTCGACGGACAGTCAAATAAACGAACGTTTCCTGGAATGCTTTACTTGTTATCATGCTAAAAACGTCACGCTAAATGGAGCGCTAATTAGAGAGAAGGCGAGTGCCATCGCACTAACTATGGCCATCGAGGACTACGAAGCGTCCCGTGGCTGGCTTTAAAAATTCATTGCATGACATCAGCTGAGCAACGCTGTCTTGGGTGGCGATCGAGGGGAGGTCGAGTTAGAGGCAGTGAGATGGTGGAAAGAAAAGCCACCTGGTCCAGGAAGTATTTGTTATTGTTAGATTCAGACGCAGCATGAACGTTGCATTGCTAAAATGGCTACAAAACGGACCTTTGGATGTCAAGCAGCTAAGACAAGAAGAGCTCTGATGCTGGAAGAGAGGGTAAAAGTGATCAAAATGAAAGACGGAGGAAGCAAAATAAAAGACATGATCCAAGAAATTGATGTAAGTGAAAGTGAATGCTGATCGTGAATTTCGCAATTTCTTTCCCTTTTTTTTCTTTCTACACTGACAATATGAAGTGTCAAATAAGTGTGTGCTCATACTTATGCACTATTGGAATAAAACTAGAGTACACATACGTTTGTGTGTGCGTGTTCACATACGTGTGTTTGTGTGCGCGCGCGTGCGTGCGTGTGCGTGTGCTTATATCTGAGATCAAATTTGCTACAGTGAAAATCCCCCTGTTGTGAAAAATTTCTTGCTGCAAACATGATTTTGTTGTAGAGGAGTTTCACTGTGAAGTGCGTGTGTGTGTGTGTGTGTGTGTGTGTGTGTGTGTGTGTCAATGACTGCAGCAGTAGCTGCAGCTGTTGAGTGTTTCCAGGACAGCGGGGCCCATTATGTCGATCGCGATCAACCAGTAGATCAAGGACTGGTCCCAAGTCGATCCGAGGGGTGTCGAGGGAAAAAAAAAAACAAAGAAACATTTGGGTGTCTGTACACGTTAGTAATATATTTTTTTGTGTTAATACACACTGCACTCTAATCAGTCTATCAGTCTCACTTTCACAAAAAACTATTAAAAAATAAAATAAAACATGTCATCTTTAACCTACGGCGACATGTGACTGCGTCACCGGAAATTGTTAGCGCTCAGCAATCTGCAGTGCAGCTTGTGATCAAAGTTGTTGCGCTCTATCTTTTATTGTTGTCATTATTCTCATTCAGAGTTTGTTTTGTACAGTTCACCGAAGGGATGGGCAAAGAATGGGAATCTGGAGGGCCGAGAGAAGCATTTTAAAACGATACGCGTAAGCTACGATCGTTAACAGGCTGCCTAAGTGCGTCGCATGCCTCAGTGTCAGGCTATTGCTCATCATGGCATGCGTGTGGACGTTCGTGCGTGCGTATGCGCGCATGTGCAGTAACCGGTCGATCGTGGCACGTTGGTTGATCGAAAAGTAGATCTTCGGTCAAAAAAGTTTGGGCACCCCTTGACAGGTTGTGGTCTGATCGCAGACCGAATGGAGTGTGGAGCCCACAAACGCAGACTCAGATAAATGGCGATGACAAAAAGGTTTATTAAGGACAAGCGAGGGACCGACAAAGTATTCAACAAAAGGTGCTGGCAAAACAGGGAGTCAGAGAAATCGAACAACAACACAAAGCGATTGCCAATTACAAGGATAGAATGATTTTCAAGAACATGATAAAACAAAGAGGTTAGTACAATAAACGAAACCAAGTACGATACCAAGACTAAAAAAATACTCACAAACCCGAACGACTATGACGAGGAGGGCAACTAGAAGCATGAACGAGACATAACAAAGCACATGGGCAAAGTGGTGATCAAGAGCAATAGTCCGACGAAGGAAACAGGTGGTCGGTGTCTTAAGTAGGCAGAACAGATTGCCTTGATCCAGCACAGGTGCGCCGCTGGAAGGTGACGCCCCACACTCCAGCTGGTGCTGAAACACTCAAGGAACAAAACAAAGACAAAGCAAACCATGACACCCCTGCTGTAGAGGATATTCAGTTTACTTCAACAGCAGTCAAACATTGCTGCAGAAAGACGTGATCTGACACGCTTTCTGCCTGCACCCAGTATTAAACAAACCCCCAAAATAAAATCTCCGTTGTGTCGACAGGAATAGTGTTAGTCCTCACACAAATGCCTTCACGGCCGTATTATGTGTGGAGTGCATTCTAAATGTCATATGCAAATATTTGACATCCTGAATTTTTATCTCTTTGGTAGATAAAGCCACTTGGGACCAAAAGATTAGGCCACCTTGGACCCAAAAAAAAATAATAATCTTAATTGTGTCACATGCGCCATGATAAAACCAGTCTAAAAGTAGTCAAGGATCCAAATAATACAAAATAAAATAAAACACAATAAAAGATAAACAAAGATTCTGTTGCAATTGTCACGCTTACCCAGTAAATAAGTGGAATGCATCAGCAAGTGCATCCGGTGTCAAAACTATGGCAAATACATAATCACTGGGGTGACACTACCTGTGTGGATAGGGACAAACAAATAAATGAATGCATAACCATTTTTTTCCCAGCCCGACTCTGACCATTTTCTAGTGATGTGCTTGGTGGGGAAGTGATGATCCAGCGCCCTGTTTTGGTTCATTTCTGGTATCCTGTTAAATTTGATGTACTCCATCACAACCAAAAAAGTACTTCTGGCTTGAAGGCAACTGTATTTTGATAAAAAATTAGTCTCGTTTTTTAAACTCAATTTTCTCACCAAATCTACTCATTTCTTTAAAAATCAGGCATGATTGTTCCTGTCTTAAACACTGAAGTATCCATCTTCTTTACTTGCAGACATCACATTCCTTCATAAATTGCCGAATCCAGTGCAAAATATAATGAGTTTGATAGCAGCCCTCCAGCAGCTGAGACAAATTATTCAAATCAGAGACAAGCAGTACTAGTGCAATGTGCAAATTGCAGTGTGACTGGCCAATTTTTGCAGGGATTGTAGAGCATTGAAAAAAAACAGCGTTTGTATATGGAACATCTATGGATAACAAGCGTGATTTCACTTGTTGTCATACAAGTGTTCCCTGAGTTTGGCCAGACCTGTAAGTCTCAATGGCTGTGGGGTGGGGGATTGGTTTGGAGCCAAAGCCGCACTATTTGCATTAAAGACAGCTACATGGATCGCTACACTACCAATGCCGCTAATGGTAGGAATGGATGCATACTGACTTAAAAAACTTGAATAAAAAGAAATTCTATTTCTCTGTGCTTATTTTTTAGGACCAACAATAAACTTATCTTTCAACATAGAGTGTGTTGATGCAATTTTTTAAATATATATTTAATTCGTTTGATGTTGAATATAATAAAGCCTGTTGCATAGCAAAACAAGCAGATCTTGACATAAAAACTATCTTAGAGGGAAGCGTGTTGATGTCGGAAAAAAAATGCTTGTATTTGACAGCCAACTGATGAAGTAAAAATGCAAGAATAAACTCTGATTTTGTGTTCTCTGCAGGTGCGTGCAGAGAAAATTGTGCAAAAAGCATCACCTTTTGTGGCTATTGCTCATCCTGTTTGTGGTCTTCATTGCCATTCAGTTGGTAGCCCGGCAAGCCAGGTGAGGTTAATTTACTGGTCTGGATTGAATGCTAAAAAAGTGAAATCTGTTTATAATGTGTAAGAATGGTTTAAATGCAATCAGAATGTTGATTGGAGGGATGCGATATAATTTGACCTCAGCCACTTCTGGCCAGATTGTCAAAGACAAACAGATGGCACATTTTGCATCCATATATTGAGCTCACTCATCGTCTGAGTCTGAGTGTTGACAGCAGAGTACCATCCTTCTGCCATGATGTGCAGTTTCCCTATTCTAATTGTGCTACCAGTGTCTTCTGAATTTTGCGATGAATCAGGAAACTGCCAACTCCAAACAACAGATTGCCTGTTATCAAAACTCCGATCATTTATATGTTTTCAAAAAGAAAGAAGAGACAAACTAATCCTCCACAGAACGATATCCGACGTGCATCTGGCTGCAAAATATTCCGTCAGGACAAGCAGGCTCATCTCTACCCAAGCTTCTCGTTGTGAAAATTTGATACACTATACTGTATTGCATTGAGAGACGGGTGGCGCGGTGAGAGACTGGTTAGCACGTCCACCTCAAAGTGCAGAGATTGTTCGTTCAAATTTGGCCCCGGCCTCCATGTTCGCATGTTTGCATGTTCGGCATGGGTTTCCTCCCACATCCCAGAAACATACATTGTAAGTTAAATGAACGTTCTAAATTGTCCCAAGGTGTGATTGTGAGCGCTAATGGTAGTTCATCGATGTGTGCCATGTGATTGGCTGGCAACAAGTTCAGAGTGTGCCCCTCCTACTGCCTCAATACATCTGGGATTGGCTGCAGTACGCCAGCAACCTTTGTGAGGATAACCGGATCAGATAATGGATGGATGTAAGAATGCAGTGAGAGGCCAGCTGATGAAATTCCATGATTTTTTAAAATTTTCAGATCAAATGCAGTGGCAGGCACAGGATGATAGCTTAGACCAGGGGTGCCCAACCTTTTTGACCTAAGATCTACTTTTCAAGCAGCCAAATACCTGCAGTCGACCATCCCGGGAAAGGTGTGGATGCGCGTTCGTCCACTATTGGTCGATGGCTCAACATGTGAGGTTTTATTAATATGCAAAGAAAGACTTACATTTTTTCCATTCATCCATCCATCCATCCATCCATCTTCTGATCTGCTTATCCTCACGAAAGGAGCCTATCACAGCTGTCTTTAGGCAGTAGGCAGGGCACCGAACTGGATTCCAACCAATCGCAGGGCACACATAGACGAACATCCATTCGTGCTCACAATCACGCCGAGGGACAATTTCGATGGTTCCATTAACCTGACATGCATGTTTTTGGAATGTGGGAGGAAACTGGAGTACCCAGAGAAAACCCACACAGGCACAGGGAGAACATGCAAACTCGACACAAGAAGGCCAGATCCGGAAACAAACCCTGCACCTCTGCATTGAGAGGCAGACGTCCTTACCAGTCAAATACCGTGCCATCCCAAATTTATTTATTTATTTATATTTATTTTAACTAATACGCCCCTTCTAGGGCAGCACGCTGGAATACTGGTGAGCACGTCCGCCTCACAATGCAGAGGTCATGTGTTCGATATCCTGCTCTGGCCTTCTCGTGTGGAGTTTGCATGTTCGCCCCATACCTATATACCCAGCCGAGTACTCTGATTTCTTCCCATATTCCAAATAACAAAAGGCATGGTAGGTTAATTGATCACTCTATAAGTCTATATTGTCTCTTGGTGTTATTGTGAATGTGAATGGTTGTTTGTCTATCAGTGTGCCCTACGATTGGCTAGCAACCAGTTAAGAGTGTACTCTGCCTACTGCCTGAAGACGGCTGGGATAGGCTCCAGCACGTCCGTGACCCTCACGAGGATAACAGGATCAGATAATGGATGGATGGATATGCCCTCCATGAGCTGTCGTCTTGGTGGTGGAGAGGTTTGTGTGTCCCTATGATCCTAGAAGCTAAGTTATTTATGCTCCTGACAGGGTCACTCATGCCAAACAGGTCCTTGGTGAGGGAGCAGACTAAGGACAGCTCAGAGCCTCTTTTTGACGAATAAAAACAATGGATTCCCTTTTCCCTTGCCCAGATGCGGGTCACCAGGGCATCCCTCTGGAGCAAGGCCTGGAGGTGGGGCTCGGAAGTGAGTGACGGGTGGCCGGGCCTCCAGCCATTGGGCCTGGTCGAGGTCAGCCTGAAAGGAAAATGTGGGTCCCACTTCCTATGCCAAAGGTGTCAGATGCACAGAGTGCTCGGATACAGAGTGTGGCTCGAGGGGCGCTGAATGTCACCTCTCTGACAGGGAAAAAGCCCAAGCTAGTGTGTGAGGCAGAGATGTTCCGACTAGATATAGTTGGACTCACCTCCAGACACAGGGCTGTGGTATCAGTCCTCTCGAGAGGGCTTGGACTTTTCCTCCACTTTGGAGTTGCCCAATGTGAGAGAAGCCGAGCAGGTGTGGGTATACCTCAGGCTTGGTACCTGTACATTGGAGTTCACCCCACTGGACGAGAGGGTAGTCTTCCTCTGCCTTTGGGTGGGAGGACAGGGCCTGACTGTTTGTGTTTATACACCAAACAGTAGTTCAGGGTAATGCGGAGCGATATGGGAAAAATCTTCTATCTGTTACTATGCAGTCCATTTTATCACAGTAACTGTGTGTGTGTGTGTGTGTGTGTGTGTGTGTGTGTGTGTGTGTGTGTGTGCGCGCGTGCGCGTTTATTTATACATACAGTGGTACCTTTACTTACGTCTCTTCACACAAAATTTTCAAGTTACGAAATGCCTCAACAGGAAAATATTGCCTCTTGTTACGCAACAAATTTCAAGATACAAAAGATAAAAATACAGTATTGGCTGCTACTCGCAGCTCCGAGTTTCCTGAATGCAACATACTTATAGCTGCTCTGCCATTGGCTATTACCTAGCATCTTCCTGGCATCCCATTGGCTAAGAGGGACTTCTGCCATATGTGTCTATGTGTGGAGATAGATAAATAGATACATACAGGTATGTGTCTATGCAGTGTCCCCGGGCCATGAGGCATTCCGATGAATGTACTTGTATCAGTTCTTTACAAAGCCACAGGCAAAAAACACTTCAGAGAGAGAACATGAACGAAAGAGGGCAAAAAACAATGAGAGTTTGTTAAATGACCATAATTTTTATTCTTTACTCTATGAACAACTCAAATTTATTGTGCAATCATCTAATTGTAACATGTATTTGTTACATATTTTGATGAATTTCTTTGCTTTAGCAAACTTTTATGTCTGAATTTTGGAGGGGGGGGGGTCTTGGAACAGATTAAGGCATTTACATGGAAAACGCGTCTCTACTTACAAAATTATCTTGCTAAGAAATTTCTTCCAGACCCAATTAATTTCGTAAGTAGAGGTTCCACTGTATACAGTATATATAGTTCAGAGTACCCACTCTTTTTGGAGTCATTGGAAGTAGTGCTGGAGAGTGCTCCTAGGTGACTTCACTGTTCACCTGGTCAATGACAGTGAGACCTGTAAGGGTGTGATTGGGAGGGTTGTCCACCCCCCCCCCCCGATCAGTACCCAAGAGGTTTTCTGTTATTGAACTTCTGTGCTGATGATGGATTGTCCATAACAAAAACCATGTTTAAACCTAAGGTCCGTCCCCATTTTGTATGTGCACTTGGCACCAGGACAACTTCGGCCGCAGTTTGATGATGTACTTTTATCATCCGATTTGTGGCCGAATTTTTTGGACACTTAAGTGAAGAGGGGGGCGGAGCTGTCAATTGATCACCAAGGTCGCCGTCTGCCTTGGCAGACTCAAACGTATTCTGAGGGTCTGCTGGGAACACCTGGGAACACCTAGAATCTTTCCATCCATTCATCCATTTTCCGATCCGCTGATCCTCACAAGGGTCCCGGGTGGGGGAGGGGGGGTGCTGGAGCCTATCCCAGCTGTCTTCGGGCAGTATTTGGGGGACCTCCTGAACTGGTTGCCAGCCAATCGCAGGTCACACAGAGATGAACAACCATCCGTGCTCACACACACACCTAGGACAATTTTGAGTGTTCAATCAACCTGCCATGCAAGTTTTTGGGAGGAAACCGGACTACCTGGAGAAAATCCACGCAGGCCCGGGGAGATCATGCAAACTCCACACAGGGAGACCGGAGCTGGAATTTAACCCAGTACCTCTGCACTGTGAGGTCAATGCGCTAACCACTGGACCACCGGGCTGCCCCTAGAGTCTTTCAAGCTACCAATTTTTGGATTTAATGGAGCGGAGATTGTTGTTGTGATGAGCATTAGCCGACCTAGCCAGGCCGGCTAACACACTATAGTCCACAGACCAGCTGTTTTAACTCCTGAAAGTCCAAAAAAATTTAATTTAACAGTTTAAACTGGCTTACCTTAACGATTGTGGTCAAGGGTAGAAGCCAATCCAAGTCACTCGTGAATTCCTATTCCAATGAATGCTCATCGTTATTGTCGTCTTCTTCTTCTTCTTGGTTCAGTGGCGAATTACAACTCTTTGTTATATATCGCCACCCACTGTACAGAAAACAAAAAGCATTTCCATATATTGTCAATGGAAGCAACCCTGCTTGTATTCAGTGCCACGAACAGACACATAAGACAGGTGGGGCGTGTTTCTGTCAGTCATCAGCAAAACAGGTGCCCGTCAGTGACGCACTGAGAGGTCCGTCAGTACTTGAGCTGGTTTTTGATGATTACACTGAGGGTTGATAACTCACTTCCATCAGTCCTTAGTCCGTCCTTTTTTTTTTAAGTTGTTCATCATTTGTTAAATATCAGCAAAACGCATTTGTCATTGACAGACTGACAGACCTTCCATAAGCACTGCCAGAATGCCCACGTCTGGTTCTTATGATGTCTCTTCATTTATTTCTATATACCTCTTAGGTTCGCTACCATTGTTTTTGACTTGATGATTTTTAGTTTTTTTTTTTTGTTTTTTGTTTTTTTTTTTTTTGAGAGGCATTGGTTATTCATTTCGTAAGCCAAAGGCCTTTTGTGTTCTTGTTTTCCGTGTGATATTTTCTCACTGGACAGTTTTGTAATAAAAATGGCTTGATCTTTTTGATGATAAAATATTAATAGTTGAACAAACATGCCATTTTTGGGCTCTCCTGAAAAGTCATGATTTTGGAACTACGAAGAATCCACTCGATGCCACCGAAGTCTGTTTATCTATGACGAGAGCAGCGCAAGCCAGAACCATGTGACCAGTCTCTGTCTGTGATAGCATCACAGTGCCGTTTACTGGGGTTGTAGCGAATTGTGCTTAATTGCGACCAAATCTGTACAATTTCATGGACTGAGAGCTACTTTAGAAGGGATGTTTTGATTTGTTGAATTTGGAATAAGCTCTGTATATCCGGATTGCATTTACAATTTTCAACATTTCTGAAATGTTTGACACCACTCTTATTACATGTGATTTATTTCAGGTATGATGAGGTCCCAAACGTGAAATACCCTACTGAGAGTGAGCACATGTTCCCGCCTCTGCGAAATGCCTGGCCGGGCCTCCATACTCAATCAACACTGCCAGAAATGCAGGATATGATATCAGCACCGACAGAAAGAAATGCAAACCATCTTTATCAGAATATGCAAAACGGAAACCCAGAAACTGATCTCAAGCCAAAATATATGGATACAACCATCTCCCATTCCACAGGCTCTCAGACCAAGGGTCTTATACCCGGATCATCTTTTCCGTTGGATCATCTAAACAAACTGAAAAGTCGACTTCTTGAATTTTTGGCTCGAGAGAGTGACGGAAAGAGTTTGCTAGCTGGCAAATATAGTAACCACTCCAACGCCCACTGTCCATCAAATGGAGTCCAAGAAAAGACAACTGTTTACACAGAAAGGAAGTGTCTGCCAAAGTCACACATTGTATTCCTCAAGACGCACAAGACGGCAAGCAGCACAATTCTAAACATCCTTTACCGCTATGGGGAAAGTAGAAACTTGACCTTCGCACTTCCCCTAAACAAACAAAAACAGCTCTTTTACCCTTACTTCTTTGCTTCACATTTTGTGGAAGGTGTCAGCAGCAGAAACGTCAAGGAGTTTCACATCATGTGCAATCATATGAGGTTTAGAAAAGCTGAGGTGAGTGCGCATTCACAAATTTCAGTCCAAAATTATTCATACCTTGACCAAAGATTGAATACAGTGATATTTGTTGAATGGGTTTCAGCTGAAAAGATAAGAAAGCAGGATAAAAGCATAGATGCTAAGAGTTTAGATCAAGGGTGCCCAACCTTTTTTGACCAAAGCTCTACTTTTCGATCAACCAATCTCCCGCGATCAACCCATTACTGCACACGCGCGCATATGCACGGACTTACACACACATGCCCTGATGAGCAATAGCCATAACGGTTCCTAACCTGAATGAGACAGAAAAATAAAGTAGATCCAAGAGTTTGGGAGTTTGTGAGAAGGAAATCACAGCGTGGAAATCTTCGTCGAGACCTAACACGGATGGATGGGATGCACTTTTGCAGCCTGTTAATTATCGTAGCTCACACATACTGTTTGAAAATGCTTTTCCCGGCACTCCAGATTCCCATTCTTTGCCTGTGCCTCTGTGAATTGTACATGAAACAAATGAATGAGAACAACAATAACAATGAAAGATATAGCGCAATAGCTCTGAGCGCAAGCTGCAATTCCAGACTACTGACTGTGAACAACTTCGGTGACGCATCACCATAGGTTATAGGTGACCCGCTTTTTGATTTTATTTTATTTTTCAAATACTTTTTGGGAAAGTGAGACTGATAGGATGCTTCGGGTGCAGTGTGCACTAACACAAATATATACCATATTAATGACATGCACACAGACGCACAAATATTTTGGGGTGGTTCCCCCGCCCCCTCCACTGTACACCCTTCGCAATCGACTTGGGACTAGTCCGCAAGCTACCGGTCAATCGTGAGTGACGTATTGGGCACTCCTGGTTTAGATGCTATCGAGTTTTGGGGTTTGTTTTATGCTACAAGTTCCTGCATGTTCAAACAAAATCTTACATCAAATGTTATGAAGGAATAGTTAAATTCAAAATTCTAGATTAGTTCAGAAAATGCAAGGACAATACAATACAATACAATACAATACAATACACGACGATTTATATAGCACTTTCACACCAGCTGCAGCTGTAACAAAGCACTTTACAAAACAGTTAACATAAAATAAAATAAACACAACACAGTCGTGCAATCTTAACCACTTTTCCCTCATACGCTTTGTTGTTTGAAGCAGTTCTAGATGAAAGAGGAGAGAATGAAAGTGTCTTTTCGCGAGTGGATCGTCATGCTTAAAATGTGCATACATCTGCTACAAGCTAAATTTGAAAGTAAACAAGAAGCTGTCGAGTCCATTGATGAAAAAAGAGATTGGTTCACTTTTCCTGTCCCATGTAAATCCGTTTCAATTCCAAGCGGTGACTCTCCGTTCCAAATACGCATCCGCGCTCCTCTCTCCTTATCCTCGGCTCCACACAAGCCATCTATCCAGCCGCACCAACACAGACTGTCCAACAGTGCTGACATCTCCGCTGAGCAAAACGGGGCTGTGAAAAATTGCACCCATTACAGTTCCAAAACACACAAGCGCCCCGGGGCTTTCCAGCACCGACCTATAAGACCTGAAAGACCTATAAGACCTATTGGAACCTGTTTAAGGACCTACATATAAAAGGACCTATAAGAATAGTGCAAAAGTTGTGCTTCCATAAAACTGTCTGACAAGATCAAATATAGAGCTGATTTACAAAAATGCACAAAAAGAGAATTGGCAGTATTTCTTAAGAAGATATCCGTCACAACTTTCATGTTTTTCCAGATACCTCACTCACAACATATTTACAACAGTAGGCCTAAATGTTGACGTAAATGTATTAGGTGCACGTTGATCGTTGGATAACTAATAGATTAATTTGCATGTTGAAGTGGCATCCTGCTGACATAGAGGGGATATACTTAGTGAAAAGTCCATCCACCTGCCCCACCAATATGAAAATATTTTGGATTATGTATAACGGATGCCATCTTGTAAAGGCCCACTTTAACTTCATTTTAGCGGTTAGTGCACTGCGCTTCCGAGCCGACAGTACAGGTTCGATCCCCACATTGAGTGGTCACCACAAGAGTAAAAATGGCACCAGTTACATATGTCCGCCACCCATAATAAAATGAAATCCCAATGAGAATGCGCTTATGTTCGAAAACTAATGTTCCCAACCTCTTACCCATTCAACTGCACCCCTCCCACCCGTTGAACCCTCAAAAATTAGGGGGCATCTAAACCGTCCATTCTCCCCTGGCAACTACTGTGCTTTTCACGCACGTGTTGTGTGCTGATTTTCTGAGACACATTTTGACCTGTTAAAAAGAAGACAACACACATCTCTTCAATCATCTAATGCAAGACCTCTATTGTTTTCCCCGTAACTTTCAAAGGATGTTTTCCCTGAAGATTGTGTGAACTCCATTTGGAGCCTTAAAAACATGACAATGATAGGTTATGTCCCACTGAAAAATGTATTTTCATGTCCCAGGTGGCAAAGGTGATGCCTGCGGATGCATTCTACTTCTCCATCATAAGGAATCCAGTGGCTATGATGGAGTCCGTCTTCATTTACTACAAAAGCATTCCCGCCTTCCAAAAGACTCAAAGCCTGGATGACTTCCTCGACAATAGAGCCCCAAACTACATCTCATCAGCCATCAACAACCAATATGCTCACAATATTTTGGCCTTTGACTTTGGCTTCGACAACAATGTTACCGCAGATTCTGAAGACCTTGTGGAAAGAACGAACAGGTCTATTGCTGCCATTGAACGGGACTTCCAGCTCATTCTTATTTTGGAATACTTTGAAGAGTCTATGATCTTGCTCAAACACAGCCTTTGCTGGACCCTGGAGGACGTGGTATCCTTTAAGATGAACAGCCGCAGTGAACGCACGCGTTGCCCACCTTTACCTTCAACTGCAGAAAAAATCAAGAGGTGGAATGCTCTTGACTGGAGAATCTACATGCATTTCAACAAGTCTTTTTGGCAAAAAGTGGAAACTCTTATTGGACGAGAGCAGATAGAAGTTGAAGTTGCTGAGCTGAAGAGATTACAGGCTAAATTAGCGAAGATCTGTCTCAAGGATGGCGGGCCTGTTGACCCGCTCCAGGTAAAAGAAGTGAGACTAAAGCCATTCCAGTATGGAGCGGCGGTCATCCAGGGCTACAACCTCAATCCGCATATTGAAGCTGCACAAACCAAAATGAAATGTGAGAGGCTAATAACACCAGAGATGCAATACACAGATAGTCTCTACAACCAGCAGTTCCCCGAGTTAGCGGCTAAGCAACGAAGAGCAAGGGCTGCCATACAAAGTCAGCGCTCGGAAAGAAGAGAATTGGCAGGTAGACCCTTGAAAAGGAAAGCTCAAGACAGGCACACAACTTATCTACGCGTCAAGAACCTGAAGGTCGACAAAACAACCCGCTGATCACACACTGTAATATATTGTGTGACTATCTGGGATGGACTGAGGAATGCACTTAAACATGACAATCACATTTCAGTCAACCATAACCTCCTTATATGACAAGCATTTCCCAGTAATTAAGATCACCAGAAAGTACAAAAACCAAAGTAAGCTATGGATAACAAAAGGCATAGAAAATGCATGTAAAAAGAAATCATTTTTAAAATCCAGAACCAAAGGAGCTGAAACAAAATAAAAGACTTATTAAAACAAATCAGTAAATATGATAAGAACCAGCAAGAGAGACCATTTTCATGCATTATTAGAGCAAAATAAAAGCAACATCCAAGAAATATGGAAAATCTTAAATCATGTAATTAGAAATAGCTCTAATAAAGTAGATTATCCGGAGTACTTTATGAAAGATAAAAATACCATTATTGAGGAAACTGCAGAAATAGCAAAGGAATTTAATGAATATTTTGTTAATATCGGCAGTAACTTAGCAAAACAAATTCCTGATCCAATAAATTATTTTGAAATCGATAAATACATAGAAAAATATTCTTCCACAATGTTTCTTACTGCTGTGAATCAAAATGAAATATTAAATATTGTAAAAACATATAAAGGTAAAAAGTCAACTGACTGTTTTAATATTGATATGACAATAGTAAAACAGATTATAGAATTTGTAGTGCGACCTTTTACATAGATATGCAACCTGTCATTTAAAGCCGGTGTTTTTCCATCAAAAATGAAAACAGCTAAAGTCATTCCAATTTTTAAAAGTGGAGAAA